TATATATATATATATTGACATTTATTATGATGTTCATGTATATTAAACTAATTATATTCTGTAATCATTGACATTTATTATGATGTTCATGTATATTAAACTAATTATATTCTCTAATCATATTCTTTATCGAAAGCAAACGCAGAATAAAAAAATATAAGAAATCTGTGATATAAAAATATTTTTTTTTTCCATTTTTAATATACATACTCTTTTTCTTATGAAATATGAAATATTCTGTTAGATGTATTAAGAAGTGATTTATAACAAGAATTCTGATATTATATTCTTTTTTAAACTTTCTATATCATAGCTAAATTAAAATAGTGGAAATTTTTGATCTAAGATATTTATGATTCACTAGTATTATGTATGTAATATTCTATTTTTTATATCCTACCTTCCAAACACGATTAAAGCGTTGCATATTTCAATGACATCGTAACATCTTTGTGTGAACGTGTCAATGCGTTTAAATATTAATTGTTCGTTCATTTGCCAATCTCTATTGGATCCAATGCGCGCAGTTATACTCGTGACCTGTAATTCATTTTTTTTTTTAAAGACAAGAGTTCTCACAAATTTTTGTGTTAACAAATTTTAAATCATTGGAATTTGAAAATAGAATATGAGAGCTATATTTTTCTCATTATTAAAATCGAAACATAGGTTCACATTATCGACTAAATACAAGAAGTTTCAAAAGTTTAATATTTCAGAATCATCTGAAACCAGAAAAATTGTACATATTTAAAGAATTTTTGTAAATTTAATAGACGATCTAATCTGTAAATAATTGGTAAAGTCGGTCGCATAATTCTTGTAAAATCCGATAACTTATTCGATCATTAATATATATTAATTGTAAGTTTGGATACTTTATTGTATACGATTCTGTATGTTTCACAACAGGAGATACATTTCCGAAGTATATTTATTCCATTTTCCGCATCGCCTTCTAGTATTGCTTGTAATTCCACATAGTTCTTACATTGTTGCACTATTTCAGTATTTATGGCCTCACAAAGTATCTCTATGTTGTGCCTATAAATAAATATAATTCTTTTTATTTATTAATTTTTTAATTATGATATATAGATTTCTTTTCTAATTAAGATCAGTTGATAATTATGACATTACGACACATATACTCTAATGAAATAATTGAAAAAAAGTCCAAATATATAATTATAAGTATCTTAACAATATATCTAGTAAATAAGTGATATACTAAAAAATCATACGGTATGTTATAAAACGGGGATTCCGTCCAGATAAACAATATCAAGAGCAATATTCTCGTTATAGGCTCTTCGATCTCATTCGGGCATTTCAGATTGTTACAGGCTTCCGATAAGACGTTCAGATATGTTACATTGGATGCAGCTTGTTCTAATCCTTCATGAAGCCGTAGCGTCAAATGTTGAAAAGAGTCCACGCTCGGCGAATGAACGTTCTCCAACAGACATAATATTGATTGAATTTCCTTACTCGAGAGCTGATCGTGCAAAGAGCACAGATCAAAATCTGCAAATAAAATGTTTTAGATCTTATCTCAGAGCATAGATAATTTAATGAATAGATCTCTAATTACATATTTAGTGAGAAAAAAAAACAATACGAAAAATGATTCTCTCTTTCTTGAAACAGATAATAATTTTGTTTCTTCTCCTATTTTTTAAGTAGTAGAAATTTGAAATGACACAATCAATTGCTTACGATTTAATATATACAATATATGTAATATACGTAAAATGCAACTATATCTATATTCGAAACTAACATATTGCTGTCCAATGTTGCAGCTCGTCGAAAATAATTCCTCCAGTTGTGCTCTTGGACGTGTTCGCTAATGCTTCCCGTATTTGTTTGATCCAATATCGTACAATCCCTTCAAATCTATCTATCAGTGCCTTTTCCGATTCTCGCAATTTATTAGACACATACTGTCCGTCTTCCTCGGATAAATCCGGCTTTTCGTCTCTCGGCGATGTTGCGATATCAGGCAAATCTTCTTGCGGCACATAAAGCTTAGTCAAACCCAATGGTTTGTAAACCCATTCGGTTAAACACATTAGAAAATTATGCAAATTGAAGAACACATTATTCCTGATAACTGCTTTCGTTAAAAAACAATACTCTTGTTGCTTTGCTTCATAATTAATATTAATTAAAACAAGCAATTTAATAATTTTGAAATACAATCAGTATATATCCTCATAATTAATTTAAAGAATTAATAATTTTATATATAATAATAATAATAAATTATTAACTTCAACAATTAATTTCTTATTACACAATTTCTTGTTATTACTATTATTACTGTATTAGTGTTATTTACTATTTATTAGATTGTGCGAGTTTCCTAAAAGCGTTAAAGTAATCGAAAAAATGTTATTGTCAAATTTCCATTATAATAATTGGATCAAGTATTTTACAGAAGGATACTCTCTGGCCACTCGCCATTGTTGAGTGCAGCAGGTGCGTACATATTTTCCATCGCTTTCAACACGCACATCATCGCATTACGATTGATGCTGCCGAAGATGACTGTAGCGTGAAAATTATCGACGGTAAACACGTGCCAAGGTGTCCTCAAGAAATACACAAATTCACTTTGATCGTCTTCTGGAACACTTAACCGTGCTCTCAATGTATCCATCTCAAAATATATACTCAATAATGCGCAACCTGGGTTCTCAAAGTATTCGCGAATAACCGTATGACAATCCTCCTTCCAATCGGAATCCTTAATCGAAGGAAGTATCGTAAGATCTTTTACGTATTGCACCTGGAATAATGCATTGAATATAATATTAGTAAAATATAACTATAATAACCATTTATGAGAGTTATGAGAAAAAAATCGAATTATAAATTAACTTTAAAATTTAATTAATTTTTTATCTTTTTTTCAAAGTTGTATATAACAAGAAGAATAAAAAGACACTATACAACAGAAATGCATCAAGAGTTAATTTATTATTTAATTTAAATGTTACATGTAAATTATAAATTTAAAACAATTAGAAAATCTGATAACAAAAATATATTACTAAAAAGTTAAATTTTTCTATGCTATGTCAGGAAACGAAAAAAAGTTCGATGGAAGCATATATAAGTTTCATTGTCAAAGAGCATAGAGGTAGTATTTCAAAAAATAAAACAAAGATAAACTACAAATATAAGAAATAAAAAATAGAAAATAAAATCAAATTCTTTTTACCAAAATGTAATAATAAATGTTGTATATATATTTAACAATCTATTAAAATTTATATTTATATTCAAGCCACAGAAAAAGAACTTTAAAAGCACTTAATAAATTCAAAGAAATAACTGACCAAGTTATTTAAATCTTGTTCATCAAAGACCGGCTTAACTGGTTCAGGAAGAAGTTCCTCTTCGGTTTCTGAACTTTCTGAAACATCGAAAATACACACGGTTGTATATACAATTAATCTCTTATTTTTTCACGATTAATTAATCCATTGATTTGGCGGATATGTCGTCAAAAGTCCAAAAAATCGAGTTTTTGAAAAAAGAACCTTGACGATCAAAATCTTCTTCGTCCGTGTCCATGTCCAAAAATTCTCTATGAGGATCATGCGATGATTTTTCCATTTTCTTTGTTTTCTCCATCCTTTAATCTCGTTTGTTCAACGTATCAAAAACGTATCAAATATAATAACACGCGATCAAATATTTTATCAAGAATAATGATAAATTTCTTTGATTGAAGACAGCGAAAATGTATTAAAACGTAACTGTTCGTAACAAAGGCACGTTGCCAAGTGATATTGTACTGTATTGATAAAACGGGTAAACCCTTGTGGAATTTAGAAAACCTCTTTGTGCAATAATGGCTATGAAGATCGTTACATTAAATATTAGATTAATCATTTCCCGAAACTGGAAAGATCTATAATTATGTAAAATTACGTTCAAATATGCAATTAAAGTAAGAAAATTGTTTTTAATATTTAGAAGCATAAAGCATTTTATTCATCTATAATATTTACTGCTTTGAATTTACAATCTCAGCGTGGAATCCGCGAAAAAATTCGCCGAAAAATATTGCTAGTAATGCAATTCGCTTTCAATAATACCTAATATACATATATACAATATGTTATAGTATCCGAAGAGTTTTATGAGAGATAACAATAATTTTTTCTTTCTCTCTTTCTCTCTTCCGAATACCACCGATCCGATAATACATTTCGTGATTAGTCATTAATTTTAAAATCTATCAAAATGCGATACAATAATTTACGAAATATCAAAATAAGCGAAACAATAAACTAATCGCAGTAATTACATTTATCTGTTTCATATCGATGTTGTTTTAACAATGGGAGATATAGATTAAGTATATGGAAGTATTGCTAACTGTAATTACATTATCGATTATACATAATTAAAAATAATAATCATATAAAAAATTATTGATAGTATAGATGTATTAAAATAGACTGATATCCGCATATGTTATATTTCTATATAACTTCTATTGATTGGCTTTATGTTTCTAAGTAATAGTATACGATTGTAAAGTTGAATCTTACGTGTTCTTATCTTATAGTCTATATTATAAATTTGATATTTCTTGACGCTTTGGAAAAAGTCGAATATCTGAAACAGAATTTTTAGCATTCAGTAAATTATTTTCTCACTATAAGAATCTGATGCGACACAATTTCCAGCGTAATTAAAACAAGATACAATAAATAAACTTAATAGAAGGGAGTATATGATATTTTTGTTCATAAAATGTATCTTATGCAATTGCTTTTTCTGGATAATTAATGCTCAATAGTGTATAGCATATAATGTTTTTTTTTTTTTTCAGAATACTATTTATGAACTTTATCTAAAATAAATTATATTGCGATATTTATCAATAAATAATTTAGTCGCGTACTATGAGAATTTAATAAAAATAATTATCAAAATATAATATGTATATATGATACACACACACGCGCACACATACATACACATATATGTATCCAAAAATAAATAACCTTGATAATAAGTGAGCATATAAATTCGTGATATTTACCTTATCAAGTTGTTGGTAAGAATATATATTATTAATAAGAATGAGTAATGCTGCAGGCATTGTGACTTGACTATAAAAATAAAACAGTGATATATATATATATATATATATATATATGCATATATTATAAATATAAGATATTATACAT